GACTTAAGAGATAGGTAGCAAATAAAAGCGAATGTTTTTTATTAATATTTAAAGATTTGGTCAAAAAACACGAAAGATGCCCTAAATCCAGGATAATAGAGAGACGACAAAGAGAAAAGAGCTAAAAAAAAAAAAAAGAAAGAAGAAGACGGGAATTGAGCTCAAAATTTCTTCCATCAGAGCCAAAATGTTCCCTGACGTTGAATGAACTCTGAGTCTGTTATCTCATGTTCCAGTAAATGATTTCTCTGATACAGATATTGAGTACAAAAGCGCCCGGACCGGGCCCACGTTTCTATGTTCCTTCAGGACTGGCAGTATCCTGCTGAGCAAACGATGTCTCTGTGAATCAGGGCTTAATAAGGAGTAACATCTCATCCTTGCCTGTACCCTGCATCGCTGGAATATGTCACAGATCGGGTATAAAGCACGCGCTGTCACTCTTCACTCTGCCCCTGTCATCCTGCTCCTTGTGTGCAGGTCTTTTTTAGACTTTTACGTACTACAGTCATTCTCTGGCAGGAAGGCAGTTGGATGCATGTGGCAAAGTGAGTTGCCACACTCGCCGTTTGGCATATACCACTGGGGTCCAACGGGGCTATGAGGATAATGGTAATCCGATGCAATTTGAAGGGGTTATGCACATTTTAGAAGGGTTTTCTACAATTTTTATGTTTTAGGCCTGTGGCATGGTATTAGGGTCTCTGTGGTTTCACCACAAAACCCCTCCCGCATAGATGGCTCAAGCTCCGTCCAGCCACTTTTCACATTTTGGTCAACAAATGTATTCAACTGGGTCAACATAAGATTTTCCCTCTGCTATAGGAACCTATTCTCCCTAAATCAGGTAATTTTCATGTTACTGTTTACTTTAAACATCCAACGTCCAGACATGTTTTAAGACATAGAAAGTTATTTTAATCATTTAGGCAATGATGTAGATTTACCCCACAACAAAAGATAATTACATATTGCAGATTCATGTTATACTGTTTATAACAAAGGAGTTCTTAAAAAGTGGAATACATCCTTAGTTTGTGTGGTGTGGAAACATACAAATGTTTTATATTACAGTGTTTAACTCTGCAACAGTTTCAAGCTTTCTCTCTCAACTTAAAGGACCAGTGTGCAGGATTTAATATCATCTAGCCGTGTAATACAGATAGCAACCAACTTCATGCAGCTCACACAACTAATGGTGGCACGAACGAAAAACATGAAAGGCCACATCTAGAGGCCTAAAAACAACTAACTATAAGGTAAAAATATATTTTTATTTTCAGGTGACTGATGAAAATACACCTATAAATATTATATTCCATTTCTGCCAAAATAACCTTCTAAATGTTACACACTGGACCTTTAGGGCTTGGAGTGTGAGGCAAGGGGGTTGAAACACAGCTAGATGTCACTAAATCCTTCACAGTGGACCTTTTAAGTAAGCATCGGCTCTACAGGTGTTCATCTCTATGACCCTGTATATGGGATCAATAATAATTAAGGCAAGGCAAGTTAGTTGTACATTTGTTTGACAACAACACAATTCAAAGTGCTTTACATGGGACATAAAGAGGCATACAATAAGAAAAGAAACAGAACGCAAGATAAAAAGACTAGATGGAAAAATGGAAAAATAGAGAGAAAAATAAAAATAATCTTAAAATAATGAACAAGAGAATGAATGAGTATTTCCGAATATAATTTAATAAAATGCAGTGGCAAATAGAAAAAGTTTTAAGCTTCAATTTAAAAGAAGCAGGAACTGAATAAAACATTATGCATCGAATACGAGACTGAACGATGACTGAAGATAGAAAATGATTTCGAGTAAAGGAAGCAGACACAGAAAGCCATCACTGTCTGGCTGAGCATAATCATAATAAAACATAATCATCAGTGAGGGGAGAATCAAGATTGAGATTCTTAAAATGTGATCATATGAGAGAAAATCCAACTAATGAGTCAGCCCTTGTTGCAAGACTTGATAAAAGGCCCCATCTAGTGGTCAGAACTGGGACATGCAGGGTAACTGTGATGCAAAGTGACTCCCTGCACTGGATTTTGTTGGTCATCAGTAATTGACACTGAACTTTGTGTGAAATAGAATATAAATCACCAAGAGATCTCCACAAAAAGGACAGACCTGACCTCTTTTCTGTCTTAAGTTTTTATTTTTATTTTTTTTGCAAAATGGCCTATTGAACACAATTCAACACCCAACGCTCTCAATAATTATAAAATATCCTTCCTAATTAAAGGATGTATACCAGGGGTTAAAAAGCTAGTTGATAGCTGAATGTCTATCCTATGGTTTAGGCCTCTGACAGCAGCCTAATTGTACACATAATATCTTTACATACTGTATATATAATGTTGAGGTTTGTTTATATTTCTTTAGTTGTATCAGGGGCTGATCTAGAGACTTGGCACAGGGCTGCCACCCCATAAAAAGTGCCTTTCCACCCCAACTGCCTCGCCAGTTTGATGTCAAATGCAGTCAAATTTAACACTTAAAACAAAAAATACAGAGTTAGAAAACAGAAATTATTTTGGACTAAGTCATAAGCTTAAGTTTAAAGGAAAGAATACCTGTGTTTAGAAAAATGTATGAAGATTAGGAAATAAAACAATCTGTTGATGCCACCATTATATATTTCTATTTAATGCTTTACTAATGTAACTGTGTAAAGGTATTTTTCAAGAATATTTTGATACATGTGATTGTTTGTGTCTTGCCACCCCATAAACTGTGTTTAAGTACATTAAGAACTGGGGTCAGATTATGTATGTATGTGTCCACATGTTCAACCAATGAAGTTGTGATTGATGCAACTCGCCTGCTATTTGAGAGTCCACAGTGATTTTAAAGTAAAATAGAAAAGCTTAAAAATAAAAAATGCCAGGCTGTTTTGGAGTAACTCTGCTCTTAAATCAGGTTAGGTGCTTGTTCTGATTTATACCTGGCCTTATTGATGATTCTGATCACGTCCCTGATTTAAAAACTCTTCAACCGTTCCACCCTGACTCTTTCCACAGCAACACCTCTTCATGTACAGTGTGCTACACCAGTTACACCATCAAGAGAGCAAATTAAATACTAATTGCTCACCCATAATTCTCTCTTTCAACTTCTACTCTCTCTACAGGACGCTGCAACAAAGATAAATCACAATTATTGAAAAGATTCTTCACCCAAACTGGACAAACTCACGACTCTATTAGCCGCCCACCTGCCAGCTCATCGTGCTCTGTTCTGCCAACTTAACATCTTGTCCTGTGAAGTTATTCCCAAGTTCACTGTTACATTTTGTTTTTATGTTTTTTTATAATCATGTGTAATTATTAGATAAATTCCTCCGGGGTGTGTGCCGAATAAATGCCAGGACCTTGAAAATATGAGACTAAATGTAATATTAATGCATTTCTCTTCAGTTTGGTATTGTGAGGGATGTGCAGTGAGTGCAGTGAGTGCAGTACTGTCTTCATCATTTCTACCACATGCCTGACAAAAAAAAGCTGGTTTGATTTTATGTAAATGAGTGCATTTCACAATTTGAATTTTAATAATTTGTGTGCAAGAGGCGGTACAGAGAATTATATTTAAAGGCAGAAATCATCTGATGTTTAATGAAAATTATGTTTCCTTCAGCGTAATAGTCAAAAAGGATTTAGCCAAAAACACATCAACTCAAACATAATTCCAGTTTTTAAATTTTTACCGCTTAAAATAATCTGTTAAACGCACTTTTCCAGCAATGGCTGTGGGTGAGCCTATTGCAGGCCATGAGTTTACTGTGTGTGGTTGTGCAGCATTTTGAATGAAAAGCCCTGTGTCATCAGTATTACTGAGATGTGCGCAGCGCTTTAACAGTTTTGTATTTTCAGCAGATTCCCTAAAACACAAAACTCATCCCCTGTGATTGGTTGTGGCTCAGCACGCTCCATTGTTCCATCAGCCCGTTTGTTCGCTTGGTTTCCTACGCACAAACAAAACTTTACTGCCACCCTGGGCAATATTGGGCTCCTCTGTGCTTTGGCAACCCGAAATATTGGAAACTCTGACTTTTTCTGCAGGAAAAAAGGATAAAGGTAGGTCATATCAAACCATAATGTGTGTAAATATTTTGTATTTTAAAAAGTTCTCTTTCTTTATTGCTGCAATTGAACTTTCCAAAATAAATGTCGTTTTAAGTAGCTTCAAAATTAGGGGAAACCCAAATATTTATGAACCACTGAAACCCAAGAAGCCTTTTTTTTATGGATGCACCATTGAATCAAATCGAGAAAAAAATTATATTCTAGCTCTGTTTTGCGTCATTTTATCAACTTTTCCCCATAGTTCAGCAGTACATGTTTGGTATCTTTGAAAACCTGGTGGTCCTAATAAGAATTGAAAATACATGTGTTTGGATTTGAAAAATGCTTGCCAGCACAACATGTGTTTTTAAAGATGGACCCACCTCTCAGTGTGGCAGTGTTAGAGGTTTATGACTTGTCAGACTGAGTTCGCTGCTTGTCAAGCTTGTAAGTTTCCTCTCAGTGTTACTGTCTAATGAGTAATGTTTCTATAATCAGATCTGTCTAGCTCTGGCATAACATTTGTGGCATCCTGCTGAATGCATTTAGATATTGTTTTATTCATATCCACTGTCTCTCCATGCCCTGTAACAGGAAGTGCCTGCTATAATTGGTATAACAGGGGCCAGATATGGCGAGGCCCTGACCTGCTCTGTTTTCTTTGTGTGTCAGTCAGTGTTTTTTTTTTGGCAGGATGTACAGCTTCATGGGAGGTGGGTTGTTCTGTGCCGGAGTCGGGAACATACTCCTCATTGTCTCCACGGCAACTGACTACTGGATGCAGTACCGTCACTCCAGCAATTACATGCACCAGGGCCTGTGGCGGTACTGTGTGCCGGGGAAATGCATGACACACACAGACAGCATTGGTAAGACTTGCTCTGGGTGTCTTCCACAAGCAGATCCTCATTTATATTTATTAGTCTGCTGATAATCAGTGCGTGACCTCATACACTTACCCTGATCAACACTGGGGGTTTCCTTCCCTCTGGGGCATGGATGGGGTAAAATATGGCTGAGATTGATGTGCGAAGAAGATGGAAATTGTTACTGTCATGTAAATCAAGTAATCTTAATAACCAGATTTTTCTTTTTTGTATAGTTGCTGTATTTGGATATTTCTGCTTAGAAAAGTATGCAGGTTATTTTTGGTGACTTTCAGGAATAGTTTTCACCACTCGTATAGTGTATACTTTAGGTAAAAAAACGTTGTTTTTTTTCAGTCATCTGTCCTTTAATTCATCAAATCAGGTGCAAATCCATGGCCAAACACTAGAAGGCAAGCTTGAGCTGAAGAAAAGCAGGACTAGCTTTGAAAATGAAACACACCTACTGTATACATTACATAGAGTTGGGTTGAGTCGAGTTGGCTGCATAAAACTAAAAAAGACTTGATGAAAATGACTCTTCATTTAGTACTGGATGTACTTATAAGTCTGGTCTCCCAGTTTTTAAGATTTTCCCCGTCTCCTCTCACCCCCCTACAGCGTACTGGGATGCCACCCGGGCCTTCATGATTCTTTCCCTGCTGGCTTGTTTCATCGGCATTGTGATCGGCGTCATGGCCTTCATCCACTACTCCTCCTTTGACGGATTTGACAAGACATTTGCAGCCGGCATCCTTTTCTTCATCTCCTGTAAGCCCCTCAGCCTCAGTAGATACACGCAAGCCTCTCTGACGTAGTAAAGACATTCATCAGTTAACCCAAATGGTTTTAATTCTTGTGCAGGCTTCTTTGTGTTGCTGGCCATGGCTGTCTACACAGGAGTGACAGTGAACTACTATGGTAAACGCTATGGCAGCTGGCGATTTTCCTGGTCCTATATAATGGGCTGGGTGGCAGTGGTGCTCACATTCTTCTCAGGTATGCATCCTACCACACTAAAGTAAAGACACATGGTTGTGGATCATTCTCATGTTTATAATCCTAATATTGTGATTATTGTCTTCTAGGTATCTTCTACATGTGTGCCTACAGAATGCATGAATGCCCAAGAAACTCTAACTCGCGCTAACCTGCAAAAAACATCAACACACACATACACACGAGCACTGGTCCATAATATACGGCCAAGAGGACCCAATCAGCACCCCAATGAGCTTTCCATTTCCTGTTAACAGAAATATTGATGACTAAGCAAAATAAATGAAAGAAAACACTGTTGTCTGTATTGTATCTTATTTAAACACAAATTAAATACAGTATAGGAGTGGAAGACACAAGTATGAGAGCTGATACAGCTCAGTATAAAACCACATCACAATGACAAAGTGTTTTAAAGTGATAAACATTTTTTATTGGAGGGGGAAATGTCTGTGTGATTTAAGTCTGTATTACCATAAAGTATTCACCATCAGCGGAGTTTGTAGTTACAATGTTATAGCTATCTGATTGATACACCTGTTTGATTTCTTGGTGTACTACCAACAAGCCACTTTAAAAAAGACCTGCACTCAACATCATACAAACCACTCAAAGGAGTATTAAATATTAGGGTCTTTCTGAAAAGATGATGTGATATTATATATAATATATATACTGTAACACCTACACTCAGTATTAGAATAAGGTGTGATGTTACCTGTTTCAATCAGAGTACATGGGCGATGAGTCCAAACTCAAAATAATCTTTTATTTTGTCTCATTTTGCAACATGTTGAGCAATATCAACCATTTCAGCCACATGACCAACTCAGAAAGAAAAACACACCGTGGTAATGCAAACATTAACTGGTTCACCTGAATGCAACAGTGGCCTGAAAAGACCGCCTACCAGAAAAGCCACAGTGGAAGTGCTGCCTTAAGCCTGGCATACAAAATGATGAAAACAATCCCAAAACAATCCCGGTTAATAGTTATGAGCATAACCATTTCGATAACGGTGATATTATGACTGTGATCACCCCTCACAACAACCTCAAAAGATAACAAGCTCATGCAAGTCTGGTCTAGTTTAGTCGACCTCCTCGATGGTGGGGCCGGAGGACGCTCCTCCTCCGGGAGCGCCACCAGCTCCGGGGAAGCCCCCTGGCATTCCACCTGGCATCCCACCGGGCACTCCCCCAGCACTCTGGTACAGCTTGGTCATGATGGGGTTACACACCTTCTCCAACTCCTTCTGCTGATGTTCAAACTCGTCTTTTTCTGCAGACTGAGAAAAGGGAGGAAGACATGTTAGAATTGAAGTATCAAAGTACCAATCTGATGCCAGCCCAACAATTATATTAACACATTTCACACCTGGTTTTTATCCAGCCAGCTGATGACCTCGTTACACTTGTCCGTAATCTTCTGTTTGTCCTCGTCGCTGATCTTGCCCTTCAGCTTCTCGTCTTCCACGGTGGACTTCATATTGAAGGCGTAAGACTCCAGACCGTTCTTGGCAGCCACCTTCTCTCTCTGCACATCATCCTCAGCCTTGTACTTGTCCGCTTCCTGGACCATACGCTCAATGTCCTCCTTGCTCAAGCGACCTGACGGATTGTATTTCAAAGGAAAACAAGCCTGAGTACCGTACGTCACTTACACTTTATTCATTTCACAATTTAAATACAGGTTACCTTTGTCGTTGGTGATTGTGATCTTGTTCTCCTTCCCAGTGCTCTTGTCGACTGCAGACACATTCATGATGCCATTAGCATCAATATCAAAGGTCACCTCAATCTGAGGAACCCCGCGGGGGGCAGGGGGAATCCCAACCAGCTCAAATTTCCCCAGAAGGTTGTTGTCTTTGGTCATGGCCCTTTCACCCTCAAACACCTGTACATATAATGTCAGAGCAGCTCATTAATAAAGGATTTATTTATTGGAAATTCTCTAAACCAATTAAGTGTTCTTTCCAAAGATGGTGGTCGTACCTGAATGAGAACACCCGGCTGATTGTCTGAGTAGGTGGTGAAAGTCTGGGTCTGCTTCGTGGGGATGGTGGTGTTCCTCTTGATGAGAACAGTCATGACTCCTCCAGCGGTCTCGATGCCCAGGGACAGAGGGGTCACATCCAGAAGCAGCAGGTCCTGCACATTCTCTGACTTGTCCCCAGAAAGGATGGCTGCCTGCACAGCTGCAGAACAAACAGGTGGACTTTGACTTTTACATTTGTAATTGACAATTTCTTACTCAGTTTCTTTGTCAGGATGTTTTAATGCTGCACTGCTGTTTATAGAGAGACCAGGGTTATACCTGCACCATAGGCCACTGCTTCATCGGGGTTAATGCTCTTATTGAGGTCTTTCCCATTGAAAAAGTCCTGCAGGAGCTTCTGGATCTTGGGAATACGAGTGGAACCTCCCACCAAGACAATGTCGTTGATTTGAGCCTTGTCCATCTTGGCGTCACGGAGCGACTTCTCCACAGGCTCCAGGGTTCCTCGGAATAAGTCTGCGTTCAGCTCCTCAAAGCGGGCCCTTGTGATTGAGGTGTAGAAATCGATTCCCTCGTACAGAGAATCGATTTCGATGCTGGCCTGGGTGCTGGAAGACAAAGTGCGCTTCGCCCTCTCACAAGCGGTGCGCAGACGACGGACCGCTCTCTTGTTGTCGCTGATATCCTTCTTGTACTTGCGCTTGAACTCTGCGATGAAGTGGTTGACCATGCGGTTATCGAAGTCTTCTCCACCCAAGTGTGTGTCGCCTGCTGTGGACTTGACCTCAAAGATGCCGTCTTCAATAGTCAAGATGGAGACGTCAAACGTGCCACCGCCCAGGTCAAAGATGAGGACGTTTCTTTCAGATCCAACCTGGAATTTGATTGTATTTAATTCACTTACAGCACCTCACATTAAAAGTCTGCAGTACATTACGCTTAGAGACCCAGAATAAACATAAAACTGTCACAAATAAAAAAAACCTTAAAATGGGAAGTGAGACTGTCAAAATGCCTTAAAACTAAAAACTGTATGTTGTAGCCTAAAATAATTATTTTACCTTTTTGTCCAGACCATAAGCGATAGCAGCAGCAGTTGGTTCATTGATGATACGAAGGACATTCAGCCCAGAAATGGTCCCTGCATCTTTGGTGGCCTGGCGCTGAGAGTCATTGAAGTAGGCAGGCACAGTCACTACAGCATTTGTTACAGTCTGGAAGAAGGAAATATTACAGCAGTTAATGAAACACTGATGGCTTTCCCAACAGTAAATGTAGAGTTTTTATCATATTAAATGAGAGCGCAGATCTCTGGCCTGTTTACATTAACACTACAATAATATAGAGGAACCATAGAAACTTCGGACTAGAAAAATACACTCGTGAGATTAATACTCGTGCAAATATCCCCTTCTGTAAACAAACAAATACACACACAAATTATTTTTGCAAAACAAAAAAAGCACACAGGTGCACCTTCCCAAGGTACGCCTCTGCAATCTCCTTCATTTTGATTAGCACCATGGAGGAGATCTCCTCTGGGTAGAAGGTCTTGGTCTCGCCCTTGTACTCCACTTTAACTTTGGGCCGTGAAGCATCATTAATGACTGTAAATGGCCAGTGTTTCATGTCCGACTGAACAACGCTATCATCAAACCGACGTCCAATGAGCCGCTTTGCATCTGCAGGGCAATAAAAGTTGCAGTAAGTAATCAGAAACATCAAACTTCACCGATCACACTTGAAAAATGTTCTCATACCGAATACTGTGTTGGTGGGGTTCATGGCAACCTGATTCTTGGCTGCATCCCCGATCAGCCTCTCACTGTCTGTGAAGGCCACGTAACTGGGCGTGGTCCTGTTTCCTTGGTCATTGGCAATGATTTCAACTTTGCCATGCTGGAACACTCCAACGCAGGAGTAGGTAGTGCCCAGATCAATGCCGACTGCTGGTCCCTTGGACATGGTTCCTGAGAATATAAAAATGAGGAGCTGTTAATCACATACTGGCACCGGACGACTTAAACTGAGCACTGCGGGTGGCTACCAGGATGTACATTCGTCGGATGGGGTAATGAGGCTATTATCAGAGACTGAGCAACTCAAACACAAGTGGAAACAAACTGTCAGTGAAGTGAAAGTCCAGAGCACCTGTTTTCAAGCCTCCCACATCTGACAGCTTAGCAACGGCTGCTTTTATTATGGCAGCAACAGGCGACAGGGAGGACAGGGCGTTTATCTGAGGAGCAGGATGAATGTATTCCTATATTTGGGTTTGAAACAAAAAACAAATACACTAGATTATGTAAACTCTGGGACATTCCTCGGAGCTATTTTATTAAATACAGTTTATATGAAATACAGTTTGTATTAAATACAG